TGAAAATACTTTCACATTATTTTCTCTGATACATTAAAGGAGTCAATAACTTCCACATTTACAGAGCATAATGCTTGTCATGTGTAGTCTGATTTTCTAGTCTCAACTTCTCAGAAAACAAACAAACAAACAAACAAACAAACAACCTCACATGCATAAGGACCTGCCTCGAGTCAAATGCAAAAACCTTAGGCAAACTATTTAAGTTATTACCTTGCTTTCCTCAACTATTACTTAATGTTTTTATACAACCATGCTAATATACTGACAAAACTTAGAAATATTTGGTCTAAATCCAAAGAATAAACATGTATATACTCAAGGTACCCTGTCTTAATAAATCAAATTGTTTTCGTAAAGATACAAATGCAAAAAAGGCCCAAAATGCACTCCTGTTATTTTACGATGTTTTATTTTTCAAATATAATCCCCCACCCAGTGCCTTGTCATTTTAGTAGCAGGAGCTAAAGCATGAGAACTGATTTCAAGACCAGCCTGGATTATATAGCAAGACTGTCTCAAAAAAATTAAAAGGAGCGGAAAGAAAAGGGGAGGAAATAAAAAGAGATCAAGAAGGGAAAGGCGATTTATAAAATACTAGGATTATCTTCAAATTCCAATATATGACTTGATTTAAAAAAATACTAGCAGAGTTGAAAGACAGCAACCATAACAATTTAATGAAACACTGTCTCAAAATAAAAATGAAGAGAAAAAATGTTGTGCGGGCTATAATCCAGTGGTAGAGCATTTGTTTAGCATGGCCAAAGAAGGCTCTAGGTTCAATCCCTAAGGCTAATACAAAAAAAGTCCACCAATAAAAATATGTTCTTGAGCATAGCGGTGGTGGCTCATGCCTTTAAACCCAGCAGAGACAGAGACAGGTGAATCTCTGTGATTTTGAGGCCAGCCTGGTCTACAGAGCAAATTCCAGGACAGTCAGGGCTACAGAGAAACCCTCTCCTGAAAAATCACAATCTCTTTTTGATGGATTAGCTGTTAAGTAGCTAGAGTTTATGCTTATATCATGCTAGTTGATAACTTAAAAGCAAAAATCTGGGCCAGCAGAATGGCTGTGGGTATGGGCGCTTGCCACACAAGTCTGACAACCATAACCATTCCCAGAATACACAGCAAAAGGAGTTGTCTCCCAAAATTATTTCTCTGACCTACAGAGTCCTCTGGCATACAGAGTCCCCACATTGACACATACAAAATAAAAAAGCAAAACCTCAGTTGAGCTAAGAATGCAGTGTAGGTGGTAGCAGTTCGCATTACTGCACACTAATCCATGGGTCAGTCCCCAGCACTGCACTTCCCAGGCTCACGACTATAATTCTAGCATTAGGAAGGTAAAAACAGAAAGAACAGGGTGTCACTACACAGTGACTTCAAAGTCAGCTTGGGCTACAAGAGTCCCCGTCTCAAAAATGTATCAACCACAAAAATTTCTTGATTTACTGTTTCTTTCTGGAGACACGACCTCTCAAACTTATTACATAGTTGAAGCCAGTGTTGAATTTATCATCCCTGACAACTCCCAAGTCTGGGATTATAGGTGTGTACCATTATGCTCAGCTAACATAGGTAGGTCACATGTGATTTCAATGGAGATAGGTAATGAATCTCAGACAACATACTGTACCTCAGTATACAACAGCCAACAACGTGAAGCAACACAGACAGTTCACTAGCTTAGAGCTCCTTAGTCAGGCCGTCATGCTGAGCAGCTCTCAATACCTGAACAGCACCAGCACCCTGACCCTAACAAAACTGAGACAGGGCAAAAATTAATACTCATGATTCATAATGATCCTTTGCAATCAATTTTAAGAGGGTAAAAAAAAAAAAGATAATATAGACCATATTAGGTGTGTATATGTGTGACCATATCTTTCGTGGTCCTGGGCGGGGGGGGGTGTGGGGGTGTGGGGTGTGTGTGTGTGGCAGCAACGTTGAAACTAAGACCTTATAAATGCTAGGCAAACACTTTACCATTAAATATAGCCACAAGATTTTTTTGTTTTGATACCACTGGTTGGCTGTTTCTGCAAGGACAGGGCACAAGGCACAATTGAGGAACAGGAGGAGGGGGTGGTGGTGGTGGTGGTGCACACCTTTAATCCCAGCACTTGGGAGGCAGAGGCAGGAGGATCTCTGTAAGTTCGAGACCAGCTTGGTCTACAAGAGCTAGTTCCAGGACAGCCTCCAAAGCCACAGGGAAACCTCAAAAAACAAACAAACAAAATTTTAAAAAAAGCGAGAGGGAGGGAGAGAGAGAGAGAGAGAGAGAGAGAGAGAGAGAGAGAGAGAGAGAGAGAGAGAGAGAGAGAGAGAAAGTTGTCCTCTGCCTTCCAAATATGCATTGTTGCACAATTCTGTCCATACTTATGTAATACATAAACATTAATGATAAATAAAATAAGGCCAGCAGAGATATATGCGTAGACACTGTCCTAAGAAACAAAAAAATTGCTGGGTGTGATGGCCTAAACCTATCATTCCAGCAGGATGATGTAAGACTGCTATGAGTTCAAGTCCAGACTGGGCTGCTAAACAGTGAGTTTGGGTCAGCCTGGGCTACAGAGTAAAATCTTGCATCTAAAACAAACAAACAAACAAAAAAACTGAAGACATTAAGTCAATAAGCATACCCCACATTTTAAAAATGTGAACACAAAAGAGCTACACCACTATTTCAGTTATATTATCATGAAGTGCAATAACTACAAGCAACTTTAACATACATACAGGTAATACTCCATTTACCTGTGCGTTCTCCCTCAAGTAACCCTCTAGCAACTATCTCATTTGCTTTTTTTTTTTTTTTTTTTTTTTTTTTTTTGAGAAAGGGGTTCTGTACTGGCTGGTTTTGTGTGTCAACTTAACACAAGCTAGACTCATCAAAAGAAGGAGCCTTAATCCAGGAGATGCCTCCACATGACCCAGCTGTAAGGCATTTCCTCATTTAGTGACCAATGGGGGAGCGCCTAGCCCATGGTGAGTGGCGCCGTCCCTGGGCTGTTGGTCCTGGGTTCTATAAGAAGGTGGGTTGAGCAAGAAGCCATGGAAGCAAGTCAGTAAAAGCAGCACCCTCAGCACCCCTCCATGGCCTCAGCATCAGCTCCTGTCTCTGAGATCCTGCCCTGTTTGAGTTCTTGTCCTTGACTTCATTCAGTATGAACAGTAATGCTGAAGTATAAGCCAAATAAACCCTTTCCTCCCCAATTTGTTTTTCGGTCACAGTGGGACGGTTTTACTATGCAGTAGTCGCTGCCCTGAGCCTCCTGGGGGCTGAAATTAAAGGTGTGTCCATTCCACTCCACTCTCACACTGGTACTGGGTTTTGAGACAGTATCTTATGAGGAACAGGCTAGCCTCAGACTCATAGCCAAAGCTAGCCTGAACTCTAATTCTCCTGCTTCTATCTCCCGATTCCAAGGGATGCACCCACCTCTGCTTCTTCATGCTAGGATTAAAGAGATGCACCACCATGCCTGGCAACTGTGAATCTTAGTAAGAAACTTTATTGTCTAAGTCACTGGTTCTCAAACTTCCTAATGCTGTGACCCTTTAAGTACAGTTCCTCATGTTATAGTGACCCTCCCAACCATAAATTTATTTTGTTGTTATTCCATAACTGTAATTTTGCTACTATTATGAACTGTCCTTCTGAAAGGATCATTTGACCCCAAAGGGGTTTCCACCTATTGGTTGAGAACCACTGGTCTAAGTAAAGATAGCTGAGCCTAAAGTTCTTACCTCTAGAAGAGCAATCAGTGCTCCCAACTGCTTAGCCATCTCTACAGGCTCTACTTAAACAAAAATTTAAAATCTTAAACCAAATACTAAGCAGCTAGCACCGAAAAATATTATTATATAACATATCAACAATGCTAGAAATGACTCAGCAAAAAAGCTACACTGGTTTTAATTAGCTACACTTACTAAGCATTTATTCTCTGCCAGTTAAGATACTAAGACATCTGCTTTCATTTCAGGGTAGGCACTGTTATTTTTCATTCATGTAAGAGGAAAATAAACACATGACTTCCCTATAACAAACGTAGTATTTGACAGAGGAAGGATTTAAGATAAAAACGTTGTGTTAAAAATGACTGAGGCTTAGAGACATATCTTAGTTGGTAGTGTGCTTTTCTAACTTGCACAAAGTTTTAGGTTTCATCCCCAGTACCACAAACACAGGGTGTGGTGGTCCAACTGTAATCTCAACATTCAAAAATCAGATATTCAAGGGCGTTAACAAATACCTAGCTCAGTTCAGTTCCAGGCGACCCTAGACTACATGAGACCTATCTTATGAATGTCCCCCTCCCATCTCACTCCAGTCCATTCCCCCAAAACTATGAAATAAAGCCTTGCTAGATTTGAGACCCTGTCTCAAAACATAGTCGAGGCATGGTGACCAGACCTGTAACCCAGCACTTGGTGGCTAAAACAAGTAGGATCACCAAGAGTTCATGGAAAAGCATGGGATGCAGGGCTAGACCATGTCTTGAAAGGAGACTCGCCTACCTAATAAACACATTTCCATTTTGTGCTTTGCTTTCTTTTTTGAGATAGGATCTTGCTATATCATAGCCATTGCTTTGAAACTCAGTCCTCCCACTCCAGGTTCTGGAATGCTCTATTGTAAGCTTGTGCCACTCCATCTAACTTATTTTTAAAAGTTTTCCCCCATTAAATATTGTTTAACTCCCAAAACCATGTTGGGCTGGTAGCATACACCTGTAATCCCAATAGTTAGGAGGTGGAGGCAGGACAGCAAATTTACCAAAATTTCAGAATAGCTTAAGAGTACAATAACTTGTTTACAAACAAAATAAACACCAAATTAAAGTATTAAAATTCAAGGACTGCTGGAAGCTTCTTCCTTCCCTGCATGAATGATCTATTTGGCTACTCAAAATCACATTTAGAACAAATACTTATTAATGTATGACTCAGTTAAATGATTAAAAGGAAAATAAGACTCTCACCCCCAATGGTACTCTCTTGAAATTCATGAAATTGGCCCTTCACAAAGCGAAGTACAAGGCTTGATTTGCCAACAGCGGACTCTCCTAGAAGTACCAGTTTGAACTGGCAAATTTTATTTCCAGTATTTGGCCCGTTGGGTCTTGTTGCTCCTCGATTAGCCATGTCCAAAGTCCCTAATTTAAGATTCCTAAATGAACTTCCAGGATGTAAGGTATCAGTTTTGTTTTCTTTCTGGAAAAAATACCTGTGGAGACACAAACAAATAAACAAATCAAAACTAAGTAAATCAGTATTAGTGACTTAATATTTAGTAAATTTAGTCATTTATTTTTTTCACTGCCTTTCAAGGGAAATAATGGCACAAGATTTAAGCCTAAAATCACCTAAAATTAGCCTTCAAAAGGAGGGTAAGAAGTCTAAAGAGACAGCACTCAGAAGAAGAGAAAGTAATAGAGTCTATACGTCTTGAAAGCAGAAGGGGACAATCTCCAGAGAGGAAGGGTATGGGAGAGGACAGGAAAGAATGACACAAATGAAAACATCACCTGTAACCTACCCCTGTATGTTAACAACAAAAAATGAGTAAAAGGAAGGTGTGATAGCAATAGCAATTCCAGTCTTGGAAAGGCTGAAGCAGGAGTTCAAAGGCACAGACAACATGTAACATCTGACTGCAAAACAAAGCAACTAACCTTCTACAATTTGACTTTGGGACTGGGGACTGGTATAGTGTTTGCCCAGCAAGCAGCAGGCTCTAGGTCCAAAAACAAACCCAAATAAATAAAAGTAAAGAAGACTTGACTTTGTGCCAGTCAGTATTTTAAATACTTAATATAGCCACTCAACAGTATCAAGTACTCTTACAAATCTTATAAATGAAGAAACAGTTACCAAAAGGTTAAGTAACTTCATTGAGATCACACAGCAACTGTGACAGAGCAATTTGAGAGGTCAATCAAGAATCAAGAATTCTGGGCACTGGAAAGATGGAAGTTTGGCCTGAGTATTGCCATTCTAGGTGACTGGAGTTCAGCTTATGGGGTGATCCACAACCGCCTGTACCACCAGTCCCAGGTCCCTCTCCCCCCTCAAATCTTTTAAAAAGAAGAAAACAAAATCAGGTTCTATGTCCTATCAGCCCTTAGCTATAAAATTCATTCTTATCTCAGGCAATTTGGTGGACTCTCCGGGCCTCAGTTACTCATTTGTTAAATAGTTATAATATTGCCTACCTTATTTTAGAATCTTGAGGAGAAATGAAAGAGATGTATCCTGTTTGAAGAACTAGATGGCATAAAAATGCCCAGAGTTTATTAACATTCTGCTCGCTTTTCTAGGATTACTAAATATTCATTCTCTCGTTCTGTGTTTTACGTACTTTTCTACTTTTGAAGTAAATAATTTTATAAAAACAAAAAAGAAAATCAGGTTCCAATGTCATATTACTTGGGTTAATATTATTTTTGAAGAAAGTTATGCTCATAATGAAAAGCTTTTAGAACAAATCCTACAGTTTATATTTGAAGGCCTCCATTAAATGATACATTTTTTCATTTAATAGTAATTTCCCAAGTTTGTGTGCCTGGCTGATAAGGATTTCTCTATCTGGTAGGATTAGGAGTGACCTATTTACTTTCAGTAATTTGGGGGGGGGTAGCTGTTGAGCTAACAATGTATGTATTATCCATTTAGCATTGCATTTGGAAAAAGCTAGCCTGAGAGGTAGTCTCCTCCCCTCCTCTTTAGACAGAGGGTCACAAAGTAGCATAGAATGGTGATCTTCATACTTCCTGCTCTTAAGACCTACACCAAGACATCCAACTTGTTTTCAATCTTGGTAGAACTGGCAAATATTTGAAACACCCTTTTCAGTTTATTTACAAATCAACTTTAATAGCTTACTCCAACCTTTTATCAACACAGAACATAGATGAGGCAAGCCTATAAACCCAGTACCCAGGCAAATAGAAGGAGGAGGGCTGTGAAGTATTCCTGGGGCTAGCCTGGGCTTAAATAGAGTCCTTGTTTCAAAAGGAGAAGAAAAATCATTCAGTAAGGCACTTGCAGTGCAAGTCTAGGTTTGGATTCTGGCAATCATGTACAGTGAAAAGGTGAGGATTCACGTAAGAAATCTGTATTCTCCATAAAATTTGAGTTGATACATGGAATCCTCTTGACAATGACAAATTCATTGATTAATATATCCATAAGATCTTTGTGTTACTTTTGTTGTTTTAAGACAGAATCTCTCTATATGTAACCCTGGCTGTCACAGAACTCAAAGAGATCCATCAGTTTCTGAGTCTACCTCCCAAGTGCTGGGGTTAAAGGTATGCCCAATCAAACCCTGCTTAGTCTTTAAGATACCAGCTCTTGGTGTAATCTAGTTAATAGCTTTGAAGATTACTTATCTTTTCCAAAACTATGGACACATTTACAGATAAAATGATATTGAGCTACTTCTAACCAACACAAAACTACCATTCCAGCCTAGCACTGGAGAAGCTGAAATAAAAACATGTCAGTCAGAAAGACAAAGACATAGCAAGGTCCTGTCTCAAAAGAACAGACACGGTTGCTGGTTGGTGGTGGTGCACCATATTTCCCGCACTAGGGAGGCAGAGGCAGGCAGATCTCTAAGTTCAAGGCCAATCTGGTATACAGAGCCAGTTCCTAGACAGCCAAGCCACACAGAAACCCTGTCTCAAACCCTGCCGCTCCCCCCAAATAAATAAATCTTGGCAGTCCACGATTTTAATGCCAGCACCTGGGTGAATGAATCTCTGTGAGTTTCCAGGCCAGCCTGGTCTATCTACAAAGCATGTTTCAAGCCACCCAGAGCTACACAGTGAGAACTTGTCTCACATAAATAAAACTCCCATTTCTCCTCAATCTGCAAAAAGAGATTTTGAAGTCTAGTCCTGGCTATGCCAATTTCTGCCGGAGAAAACTTTTAATTTCCACATCTCAATATCCATTATATTCTAACGTTGCATAGCTACTCTGAGAATTGAGTAAGATAACATATGTAGTCTCTAATATAGTGCCTACTAAGTACACAGTGCTTGAAATTGACAATTTAAATGGCCTCTTGGTGAGACAGTGTTATAGATCAATAGACTGCCATGCACAATGAAAAGGCATCAACACATCTTCAGATATACACTTTCGGCTCAAACGTTTCCCAATAGTTACCTACCTACAAAACAATAAATGACCTATCCAGGACAAAATCTGCTCTGAATGTTCACGATGCTTCTAAAATTTCAGGCGAACATCAAATTCTCACAGAAAAAATGTACAAAAATTCATACTTCATTTTGCTTTTTAAGTGTTCCTTACCCTTCCCCACCCTATCTTTCTGAAAGAGGAACTTGTAGCCTAGGCAAGCACTGGCGTAATTTAGGATTAGTGCTGGGATGACAGATGGGTGCCTCAGCGCCTTTTAAAGTTCAAAGGTACTGAATCTTTACTTCCAAAGACCTCAAACAGAGACAAGCCAAATTATAAACATATACACACTGACCACGACATTAACGTTAAAATTAAGTGCACGGGTTGGGAGTAGCCGGCAGGGCTCTTGCTTGGCACAAGAAGCTGACTGGGTTCAACCCCTGGCAAGACACGAACACACACACACACACACATACACACACACACACACTCACACAGGCAATCCTTTGTACTCACTGCTTGTACTTGTTCCGACAAACAAAACGTCGGCATAATATGCATCCTAAGTTTTGAAAATGGTAACTCAAAAAATTACTGAGCCCCTAAATTGTGCGTACTGTGCTCACAACCCCACAGGTTCAAATCTTACATTAGGAACGATCTGGCCAGTTCTCAGTATTCCGAGAGACACACAATGGGGTTTTCTCTTGTTTAATTAGTTACCTGCAAGGCACCTGATTCAGCACTTTGAATACACTTCAGCACGGCACAGACTACACATGCCAAGTGCGACAGTCCTGGCTTTAAACTTCTGCAAGTGTCAGGGTGCTAACCTGTTCGCGGGGATGCCCACGGCCTCGGCTCACCACGTCCCACGGAAGACAGGATCCCACCATTCCCACAGCTCGGCCAAGCCAGTCAGAGGCCCGGATTCCCGGAGCACTCGAGAACCAACTCGGAGCGCCGGGCCCAGCAGCCCCGCTGGGCCCCGTGGCCGCCTCCTCAGCCACTCACTGGCTCCCCGGCCGCCGCCCGGCCAGGCCTGAGACCCCAGGACCGCGCCGGCCACTGCCGCGGCCCGCGGCGCCATCTTGGGAAGCGGGTGACACCCGCCGCTCCCTCGGCGTCCCCGCATCCCGGGCTCCGGGGCGGCGGACCGGATGGGCGTCTGTAGCGGCCGCCCGGGGAGCCGGGCCTGCCCGGGGCCGAGGGAGGGAGGGCGGCTTACCTGGGGCGCGGCTCCCGGCAGCGAGGCCACGCGCGGCCCGGAGATGGGAGGCGCCGCAGCTGCAGCGCCGTCGCCTGCTCGCCGCTCCCCACACTGGCCGGCGCGGGGCTCCGAGCGCCGTGCCGCCCCTGCCGGGCCGCGTCTCCGCCTCTCCGCTCCGCCTTCCCCTCTCCTCCTCCTCCTCCTCCTCCTCCTCCGCGGCGGCCGCACTCGAGTTCCGACTTCCTCCTCCTCCTGCTCCCTCCGTCTCCTCCCCTCAGGCCGCCGGGCTCCTTCCCGAACCAAAACACAAACAGTCAGGGTCCGGCAAAGAAACCACTTCCGCCGGCTCCGCCACGTAGCCGCACGCAGCCAAGTGCGCCGTGCGGTCACTTCCGCTGTCGCCCCTTCCTGGGGGCCTCGCCGCGGCCTCCCAAGGGGCGGGGCCTGCGCCACGTGACCGCGCCCAGCCGGCCCCCGCCTCCGCGCTGGGCTGGCGGGCGGCAGGCGCGGCTCCGGCCCTTGCTAACGCCCGCTGCATCCGGGCAGCCGACTCCGGCGGCCGGGCGGCTCGGAGCGCCGGGGATGCGGGGGCGGGGCCGGCGTCACGTGTCCCCGGCAGCCGTCCGGGCCCCACCTCCTCGTACGCTGGCCTGGCCTTGGTCTACCCGCCCCGCCCTCGCCGGCGCCATTGTTATCTGCGCGGCCGGGAGGCGGGGCGGGAGCCTGAGGGGCGTGGACCTCCCGATCACGTGGGTCTCGGATGCGGCGGGGTAGGGGGGCGGCTCTCAGGGCCCGCGCCATTGTCGGCCTCCTGAGGTCCGCTCGTGGCGAGGTTGTCTCTGAGTATTCCCTCTCGGGCCTCGCCCACCTAGTCGCCGCAGTTGAGGCAGTAGTCTCATTCTCGCCTGCTGGGGTTACGAGCCGCCCAGCGAAGGAGTTTACGCGAGGCGCTTGGATGTCCCTGGAAATGTCCCCGCTCTTCCGGGAAAGGGTGTGTCGGTAATCTCAGAGGATCAGGACCTTTTCTAGTCAAAAGCTGCCTTTGCACAGCAAGCCTCAAAAGAGAAACTCGCTATTACTTAGAGTTTGAGACAAACGTACTGACATTTTAGGGTCAGACACAACCGCTCCCCACCCACTCATCCGCACCTTTACAAACCCTTTACAAACCCGTGTCGAGCACCGCCCCGGCAGCCGGGAGTCATATTTGTGGAATGCATGAGGGAGGCAGTAACCTGGCCGAGATCGCATCCTGTTGGGTGATGAAGACGCAGTCTGCTCTGCAGCTGACTCCTGAATACTGGTTATTTTTTTTTTTTCACCACCTTCGGTTTTTCGAGACAGGGTTTCTCTGTGTAGCTTTGGAGCCTGTCCTGGATCTCACTCTGTAGACCAGGCTGGCCTGAACTCCAGCTCACAGAGATCCGCCTGCCTCTGCCTCTGGGGTGCAGGGGTTGAAGGCGTGCGCCACCACGGCTTGGTTTAGTTCTTAGCCCGAGATGTACATGGCTACCCACAGCACACCTATTTAAGACATTCTGTCAATCCTCATTCAAAAGGAACTCCACTCCTCCAAATCTGGCACCTGTTTCCCACTACCAAAGGAGCCATTTCCTCACCGCTAGAAGGGATAAATGGCTATCTGTGGTGCCTGTTCACATAGCAGAGCACACGCTGGCCCCCAGCTCACTCAGTACCCATGCTCTTCTTAGGTCTTACCTGGCTCTGTTCCCTTCCTGGAGCTTCCTGCCTCCCCCGGGGAGCAGTAGTTCCAAGGCTGCTTCTCTTCTTTCTCCGAGGCCTTCCTTGAGTGGGGTTCCTGTGGCCCCTGCTTTATTTCCTCCCCCGAGAGCTACCCACTGTATCGCTCCTTATACCCTCTTGGGTCTATGTACTGTTACCCTGTTCTCATCTCCCCCTAGGAGCTACCTGCTAAGTCCCACAGGCCACTACAATACTGGAACTCTCCTACTGGTGGAATCTCTGTTTGAAACCCTGGCCTTCCTGGAATTCCTGTGGCTTCTCTATGCCTTCTCCTGGGCCTATATGATACTGAAATCCGTCCTCTGTAGGACATCCTGCTTGTGATCCTTGTTTTCATGGCAACCCTGTTCTCTGTCTCTCAGCTCTGTCTAGGAGCTTACTGGAACCTATCCTTGGGTGGAGTCTGTTTTTAACCTTTTTTCCTTTACTTTTTAGACTCAGTTTCCTCCTCAGACTGAGACATTTCACTGAAGCCTCATTGTGTTACGGCAAACAGTTTGGCCTCAGAACTACTTGCTCAGTGGCCAAGAATGGCACACTGGATTCCCAAATTCTTGCATATGGTAGTAACTTCTGGTCCTGCACAAATGAGTCCAAAATCTCTCATATCTAAACATTCTTTGCTTTATACTTCCAAAAGTCTCTTATCTCTAAGTTTTTTTCAACTTTACACTCTCGAAAATCTTTTATCTAGCCGGGTGTTGATGGCACATGCCTTTAATGCCAGCACTCGGAAGGAGAGTCAGGCAGATCTCTGTGAGTTCGAGGCCAGCCTGGTCTACAGAGTGAGTTCCAGGACAGCCTCCAAAACAATACAGAGAAACCCTGCCTCGAAAATCTAAAAAAAAAAAAAAAGAAAGAAAAAAGAAAAAGAAAATCTTTTGTCTCTGTGATTTCTGTTCTCAAGAAATCTAAGGCCATTGTGTAAATTCCTTATTTCAGGATTTGTAAGTACACCAAATATTGTTTTAAAAACCTGTAACAAGGGCTAGAGAGATGGCTCAGCAATTAAGAGCACTGGCTGCTTTTCCAGTGGTCCTGAGTTCGATTCCCAGCTCACAACCATCAGTAATGAGATTTGGTACCCTCTTCTGGCCTACAGGTATACAGACAGACCACTGTATACATAATAAGAAAATACATTTTTTAAAAAAAATCTGTAACAAAAATTAGTTTAAAACCTGTAACAAAAGGTTGATATTTTTTAAATCTATACATAGGTAATCTTAATTTTCTACAGCATACTATGTATGTGATCCAATTCTTGTTTAGGAAAATAGATCTTCTTACTATAATTGTAATTTGGATTCAACTCTTGTTTAGGGAAATACATGTTTTTAAATAGCAACTATGTGGCTTGCCTCCATCGTGATTGATGACCTCATCAGGATGGAGGCGAACATGTGGCTGGCAGCCATCTTTACTAAGGTTAAAAGAGAATCCATGCCATGTAACTTCACCATCATCTTGATTAAGATGATCACATGGTATAAACCTGTTAGCATGCAGTCTTGCTCTTGGGGACCTGGCAGGAGACCTCATCAACCATGACCACACCCTACACGCAAGCCCTGACTAGCATCTCAGGCATCATACTAGAATGCCCCTAGGGTCACTAAGAACACTCCCTGTGCACATATGCTAACTGACGGCAGAGTCTCTGTGCACATGGATGAGCCCCCTTTAAAAGCAAATGCCACCTCACCCCTTTCCCCATCACTTCTCCTGCCAAGGCCGGCCTCCATGACCCCCTTCTCTTCCCTTGAAGGGACAAGACCCTCACCTAGCCCCCTGCTTTAGCTGCCATGACAGACTCAGCAACATGCCCATGGCTGACCTTGCCCATCCTCCCAGTCACTAGGAGGTCAGATACCCTCCATGTGGCAAGGAACCAATCAGAAGCCGGCTCTGGACTGCTTCATAGTAACAGTGACACACAGGGTATATCAACCATCCTGGGAGGGCCTATGGGCCATAACAACCAGCTGACCAATCAACACAGGACGGGCCACCAATCCAGAGGCTGTTGTGTACCCCTAGACACTCCCCAATAAATTCCCTGCCTCAAGGTCCCTTTGGGATCCCTGCCTCATGCCTACCCACAGTTAAAGACAGTTAAGTCATTAAACAATAAAAGACTCTTTGCTTTTGCATCAAAATGGGTCTCTTGGTGATTTGGGGGTTCAGAATTGGGTATAACACCCTTACCCTTTCAATAAACTTCCTCATGACTTTGTGGTACTGTGTAATTAGTTCTCGCTTCACTAACTGTAACAAAAACAACTAGAGCAACAATTATAAAACTTCAGCTATTTCAGAATTCAGCCTTCTGTCAGGAACTTTAGATCAAAAGAGGCGCAATACACGTCGCCGCAGCTGAACAGGATGGTGACGATTTAAAAGCGGCATAAACCCTGCAGCGCCATATGAGGGCAAATTCAAACACGGTGAAACGATGTTCAGGGATGAAGTGGCGTTCAATCATCAGGCGCTTTGCTAATCGCCCGCCAGGCCGGTAGACTTATAATCTGTAAAGTACAAACACATGGCTGGATAATGGTAAAGAAAAATTTTGCGAATAAAATAGCTCATGGCAAATCTTAGTTTGCGTACGAACTATTCGCGCTCAACCCTGTTCGGCAGCGTGTTATCACTTGCATCTGTTGAATCGTCAAACATATAGTCAGAAACCGCCAGTAAATGCTAAAAGACGACGCGCTTATAGTAATGCATGAAGCACCAGCCTGCAAACCTGGCGGTAATCAGGCGAACAAAATCGAACTGGAAGCAAGAGGCATGTTCCGTCTCGTTCTTTACTTTATTTAAGATCAGAGGTCAGCGCACGAGGAGGCGAGGACCGAACTGACCAAATGCAGATCACCAGTCGCAGATATGTGAAGAGAATTTCACTTCAACAAAACCCCAGAGAAAGCTACAAACTACACATATGCTGCTTTACAGCTTAGATAGCAGCTTGTTTAGCTACTGTATTTATGTGAGTGCATCACACTGATAAAGAACTTTCATATGCTACACTATATGCTATGAATTTAGCATACACTTTGGTATGTTAATAGGCACCTCAGTTAGCTATTTGTCCTGGGTTTATTTTGGATCTGACTGACTCCACCTGGATATTCTGATGATACTAACTGTGGACATTGTGGGGTTGACTGACCTACTCTACATAACCAAACTAAGTTTTTCCAAGTTCCTTCTCCAAAGTAAAATCTCTCCAAGCTTTTTTTTTTTTTGATTTATTTATTATATATACACCAAATTGAATTGTAGATGGTTGTCAGCCACCATGTGGTTGCTGGGAATTGAACTCAGGACCTCTGGAAGAGCAGTCAGTGCTCTTAACCTCTGAGCCATCTCTCCAGCCCTCTCTCTGAGCTTTTGAGTC